TAGGCAGCGACTCTGAGACGAAACGCACAACCTTTCCTCACCTTACCCACATCATCACTTCCTACATTATCCTCGCATTATAATAGCCAATTTCAATCCCTTCACTTCTTTCTAAACCAGTGACATCTGTTGGTATGTAAAATTGCTCGTACGGAGATTTTCAATCGATGTGACAGTTTAAACAATTTGTACGAGCACAGACGAGACATATGAAGAGATCAAGCATCTTATGGGATTTCTTGTCCCATGCTCTAAAATACCGACATAGTAAAAGATCACTGGGTTTTTAGCGCACTCTACGCTTAAACAACGATGAGTTGGAGAATTGTATCAAGTAAACCGATCAAAGTTAATCAAGTAGTGAAGGCGACACAAATATGATTTTTAAAATCCATTACAGTGTTGTCAAATTCTCAATACCAAAATGTAAAGCTAGTACCTATCCGAAATCATGCTACTATGTATCAGAAGGAGCTTTATCCATTTTTTACGGTATTACGATGGTATTTTTCATACAGTAAATTAAAATTCTAAAATTATTAATAAAATATTAAAGAACCTATCAGCTTAAATAAATTTTATCAAAAATTCGATTGAACATGAGAGAAATTAAAGAAAAGAAGAAAGAACAGCCCTCTCTATTTACAGATACAATTATTGTAGAAGAAATAATTAATCCTACACATCCTAAAATATTTTTGTACCAAAAATATACAAACTCAGTATGAAACATTTTTCGTACACTTACAAATTAGTTATCCAGATATTAAAATTATATATTATTTATTTTTCATTAATCAAATGAACGTGTTTACATAGACCTAACCGAGATCGCAGTCAATAAACTGCTTCAGTCATTACATCTAACGAACATTCTATTTTGGATATTTCATTAGTCAATAAAATTTATAATTTATAGAGTTTATAGAATTTCTATAGTTAATGCATTCCACGTACAATCTTCTTTTGTTAATGTTAAAACGATTTGTGAAATAAATATAATAAGATGTATTTAATTACCATTAAGCAGGATCCAAGCATCATTCTCTTGAAATTCCACAATCCATCTTATTCCATCTTTTATCTATCCGCATGGATCCATTGATAAATCTGTAACAGACTTATTTGTTGGATTATTAGTTTAAAAAATTTAACACAAAAATTCCACACCACTAAAACAGTCCCGACATTTGAAAGAAAAAGCAGATAAATAGCCAGAAGGGCTGGACTAATGAAAAGGAAACCGCGATACAATAGCCAGAAGGGCTATTAAAAAAGAAGCGTCCTACTCAAAAATACAATAACCAGAAGAGTTATTGTACAATTATCTACATTATGAACCCGAGCAACAAACCGTATCTTGTTTCGCAACTCTAATTCACTAACACTAATTATGAAAATTATCAAAATCAAACGCGAAGAGTGCTTCATGTTTAAAACTTCCGAAAATAAGCACGCAACGTTATTAATCTATGCACTCATCTTCAAAAATGCGCAACACTAATTGCGACGCATCCAGTGCAACCATGCTAGAGGTTGCTGATGAATGACCACCATGTACAGCTCTTGTAGCTGCATCAGGTGATCTAGGAGCAGGAACAGCTTTCCACGAATCCAATGGAAGGAATTTGGGCATTTTGTAAACGCAACGCTATTTCAAGAAACGCGATCATTCATTATCGCAACACTAACAAGAGTAAAAGTAATCGCGAGAAAATAATGTCGCAACACTAACTCTAAAATCAAATTGAATGAAAACTATTATTAACAATACAAAAGCTATTGTACGAATGAAAAGTTACTTCAAATATTCTAACACTCTAAAAACAGTGATTCTATAATCTAATTCAAAACAAGACAAATTTTACTACGTATAATTTTAAGATAACTTCAAAAATTCACAATTAAAACTGCTAAAAACAATCGCGGTATTGTAATTCGTAACTCTAAGGCAAACTCTAAAGCAAACATGATTATCATTTCTTTGCGATTCTAATTCAAACCGTAATCAATTTCTCGCAATACTAACAAGAAAAACCGCGATTTGCCCAAAACGAAGATGAACGATGACAGAAAAAAAAATACAACTACAAATACTAAAAGAGCATAGTGACAAAGTAGTAACGAGAATGACTTCCCATGCTCTGGAAT